ACAAGGTAGACGATAGCATGCAGTCTTGTGGAACACCGGCATTTACAGACATGGAGTCGGAGCACGCACCGTCGACTAAGACCTTAATTCTTCGAACAGCGATAAAACTGGTGACCCAATTGCATAATTTCCTGGGAAGCCCATAAGGGGGAAGCTTCGCTTTGTGCCAAACCCGATCGAAGGCCTTGGTTATGTTCAAACTAACTGCCAAAACCTCGACTACCTACTGCAATCGGTGTTGGGTTAACAAGATTAGCAGCAAGAGCTACCGAAGTAGGGTACTGTATGTGAAGACTTGTCCTGACATATCAGGGCTCTTGTCAGGATTGCGGTACCGGATTTTGGAAATGTCAGGCCTCTTCGATTTTTCTATTAAATACAGTAACGGTTTATGCGTGGTCGTGGATTTAATCAGGGACGGATTGATCTCAATAGTAATAATATTATATATAATCAAATTTTTTTACACGCTTGTTACCTTATTACGTTTGCAACAAAATGTCAGGACTAAATAGGACGTAAATAGTATACTACTACTACTGTTAAGAGTCTATAGACTTGTATAGATATAATCTCAGCTTGGTAAAATATTTATTAATCTGTGCCTCGGCTCAAATTCTAATTTCGCCCCCACTTCCCCGCACGTCGTATGCTATCTACCTAAGTACATGTTTATAATCACTAATACTGTTAGTAGACGGGTCGGTCAATACTTATTTTATTAGGTTCATCATGTATGCCTGTTTCTTTACGCCAGCCCAGTCACTTCTTATTTTTATTACGGTTATTTCCCATTTGAATTTTACGTCGTCCTGTTGCGTAATGTGTATTTTGAGTGCAGGTGCAGGCGACACAGCTTTAAGCCACTGAACACACGTGAAGAAATATTGTATTTTTATAATGTAGATTTAGAGCTTTTTAATAACTAAATAAGTTCTTTTTAATATAACCCTTTTACCATATTATTCATATTATAAGTGCGGTTTTTGTAAAAACAATGTACCACATTGTCAGTGCCCATTCATTTAAAAATACGGCCACTTAGTACCAATTTCAAAATATTATCACAATAACGGGTCTTATTGTTTAACATAAAGACATTCAATTTTAATTGGAGAGAAGATTTTCATTGAAATAGTTTTAAAATTTAGATTTTTTTTAAATAAGTTGAGTTATTACTGTTACAAAACTTAAAAACTATCAGTGCCCATTCGTTTATAATTATGCCTACTATATAATGATTTTAAAATGCTTTAATAATACTAGGTCTCTATGGCGATATAACTATCTTTACAAATGGCTAAATGAATTCTACTCATTAGTAAAAAAAGTTATTGCAATTTTAATTGAAATCGATAAAATAATGATTTTTGTTACTACTGTTGCAGAGTAATCTAAGAGTCTAGACTCGAGATCGAGATAATCTAGATAGAGATGTCTTCGATCGGGATATCTCTCCCAATAAAGTCGAGCTGCTTTCCTACCGACACCTATACATTCGCCGTTATTGAGTTATACAAAACTAGAGGAGCAAACCAACCACATTACCGCGCGTCAAAAAAAGTGTAACTAACCACTATCCAACCGCGTCGACGTAGCTTTGAAATTAGTAAACATTTTAAATAAACATATATCTGTCTCACTTACACAAGTTGTGAAAACAATACCGTCGCTAAGATTAGATAAAGATAGACACACCAAACATGCAATGGCTGGTTGGTGTGGCTTACTATATGAAATTTAACCCAAAATACGCAATAAAAATCAGGTTTTTTAAGCTGCAGTGAATTATTTTTATTTTAAAAGTATATTTTCTTATTTAACCTAAATCGCAATATTCGATAATTTTATTTAATTATTTGAGCTTTTTATGTTTATATGAAAACAAATTAAAACTTATGTGTGGAAAGTGATTCCGCTTGATTTATTGTTTTTGTGACCTTGAATCGCATTTTTCACTACGCATTTACCCATTTTTTGTCGCGGATCGTTCGGCTCAACTCTGTCGGCGTCACATTGAACACTGAACTGACGTTAGCTAGGCATATGGCTGTGGCCAAGCTGTGGCCATATGTGCAGTGCAACGCTTTGGCGCGGTGATTACTGATCTAGTGAAATATATAAATCAATGTTCGCCGTAAGCAAAACGCATGTCAGTATATTCGCGCAGTGGGTACTGAGACATTGGCTGCGTTTGGCAGAAAAAAGCACTATTAAGCGCTTGTTAGCAAAATGGCGAAACTAAACAGTTTTCGGCCAGGACATGTTTGCTAACTTCAGTAGCGCTGACTGAAGCCGCCATTTTGCTTATTTACTTCGTTTGTTTTGAAGTAGATTTTACAGAGTTTTGTGCAATATTAGTTTCAAGGAATATAATGACATGAATAAACATATTATACATGTTATTAAAAATTCATGATTGGTAATTTTTTAATATAAATTACTTTACAAACATATATTTAAATTAGGTTAGGTTCCTCGGTTAAAGCTAACTTCGTGTCCTAGAGGAAAATAGCTACTTACGATTTGACAGCGCTTACCGCTTACGATCGCCATTTTGCTTACAAGCGCTTGCTAATGCTTTTTTCTACCAAACGCAGCCAATTGTCTATTCGTCATGCCTTTGATTATATACTTGTCTTTCCTTTGATCCTTCGTTCGTTTAACCAAGTTGCGACGTAGTGTTGCCAGGTATCCCGATTTGCGCGGGACGTCCCAATTTTTAAGGGTCTGGTGACACGCCAAATGTCCCGATTTTCACCAACTTTCTTATTCTATATTTTGACCCATAACTTTGACAGCAAAAATGATTACATCTGTTATCTACTACCACATTAAACAATTCTTAATACATTTTCTACCATACGAAAAAAAACACAAATTGAAAAATTCAGACTGCAAAAAAAACAAATAGTTCAAAAATGTTTTCATTCGCCTAAAACGAAAAAACATGGACGAAGAGTATGCAGTTTTTACGATGTTTGGAAGAAAAGTTATTTGTCCATGAGATTAGACCAGAATAATAAAGCACAAAAAGGCTACAAAAAGAACCTATATTTTGTAGCCATTGTAGCTGTATTTACTAGACCCGGCATTACTAGTTGCGAGGCTTCTTTTACTGCGATCGTTGTTTTCAACTCTTTGCAATCAGAGATCTCACTATAATATAACTCCATGACTGGGTTACATAAATAAAACAAAGATTCAGATATAAAAATTTATATTTTAGGAAATATTTTGGATTCAACAACAACTCTTTCCATGTGACGCCTCCACGCCTTCGCCTTGAACCATGGCACATATCAATATTTTACTTTTGTGATACATACTTTATATAACTTTAAAAGTAAGCTTAATTTGTTAACTATTAATAAAATATTCTACCAATATGAACATATTTATACCTTGAGTAGTGCCGACATGAAGCCGTCAATTAGCTCACATGAGAGCTGAAGTCAAATTTTAATCGAGTACTATTGGGTTTTAATACAAGCAATAGGAAATATTGCGCGTCTAGAACTATACACAGAGAAACGTGTGACTCCGCTATATCCAACACTTCGGATTTGTTTGTCCGTCCGAACGGAAGCATCAAGGCGAAGGCGAGGCGCGTTAACATCCGACAGCTCCGATTCGTTGTCCACCGACCCACTCGAGGTACATCTCTCACACCAACTCACTGCTTACTGCGACCTATCATATCACATTGAAGCAATCACCCCGTTGATCCCTCGACGTAGGAAAAGAAAAGAAACTGTTATTTTTTGTTTAACTGCCGCGCGTTCAGTTTTCGCCTAACTATTACCTAGACTTAAATAAACTGCACACACAACGCTCTCTCCACACGCACAATCGCGCACAACACGCACGCTGTCTTTGCTTTTATACTACAGAGCTCGTTATTTTTTACACTGATATCTGTGGGGGACCTTAGTCAATTCCAAAATAACTAATTATTGCTTCCGAAGCAATCGAAACTTAGCTCGCGAAGGCATTTTGAAAATTATCACACATTTTATCACTAAGATTTCTATCAGCCAATATTAAATAGCGGACAGCGTTGTCGAATTCAGTGTACGCTTAATATACTAACGCGCGGGGAATTGACTGGGCCCCTAACAAATTACTACAAAAAAAAAATTAAAACTTAACACATTCTATACAAATTGCTCAACATCAAAAAAATGTTACCGAGGTTAAGTTTTCAACCTATGGAAACTACATGGACAGAACCTATTGGAGCCTATTGAAATGGATACATGTTTTACAGGCATACTGTTGTTCACAGGCCAATGTTATACAATTATGGACGTCGTATCACTTACGGTGGCAACACTTCTACATAATGTTTATACAAAACTCAACAAAACACCACTACAAAAATTCATTTCAAATATCTGGAAACATAATTTTACCATTCCAAGCTTTACACAATTAAAGTACAAATATATATTATGTATACATATAACTGTACAATAATATACGTATTGTGACAAAATATTCTATATTTATATTGTTCAGGCCTCTATTCGTTCGCTAATATTTACATTTTTTTATTATTTCTCATACCCTTAAGCTGCGTTAATACAATGAAACTTAAAAAAAATCACAATATGAACGAATCTAACTCCGTTGCAGTAAGTATTGTATGCCCAATAAATCCCATTTCTGATGGAATATCTTCCCACTTCCGCGAAGTTGTTACATTGACATCAGTTGATAAAACGTGACAAGTCGACTACATCCTTACAATGATCTGTTAGACACCGGACATAAAGCTTAAACCGTACATGTTGACTGTGAACCAATCATATTATTCTAAGCTAAGCTATTTGATGCGCTGCGTCCAAGTTTAACAGCAAGGTGTCGCGTCAACTTTAAATCTCGCGTACCACAAAAACGATCACAAGATTGAACAAGAAAAATACATAATAAATAAACATTAACAAAAACACTACTACATACATAAGGCACGAGCCTGGAAATCAAATACCGGCAAATCACCACAGCACTTGACCGTTTACGTATACAACCTTAAGTCGCTTCACACAGCCAAATGTATGAATGAACAGGACTCTAAAATTACCTGTAACAAGTAAGAAAATAAAAGTAGATATCTATTCCTCCATATTTTTTTCATAAATATTTTCAAAACAACAAGACAACGCATGGTTCGGCATAAAGTACGCACCAATATTATAGAAATTAAATTAAATTTCACTTCTATATTATGCTCATACTCAACTAGGGGATATTTCTTTGTTTTGATCAAATAACAATACAAAAGGAACACTGTGTGAAACGACCAATCCATAATATAACTGTGAAATTCATACATAAAATTATAAGTATTTTATATTCCTAATATTATTCAGTCGACGATAATACGGCGACATGACTGTCTTTACAGATTGCTAACTGGATACATTCTGTACATATTACGAGCAATTTGAAACGGACCATACAAGAATGCACACATGCTTATAACAGCTTATAACAATAGTGATAAAAATATTTGTTTTATCTAAAACATTATTCAAAGTAAAAATGTATAATGTTGAAAATTTTGTGACACCTAGTGAAGAACCACACAAGTGAAGAAAAATAAGGGAAATTAAATTATTTTAACTTGTCAATTCATTGTCAACCACACACTGACAAATACCATTTATTGTTCCATAAGTTTATATACTTATTATCCTATAATTTCAAGCAAACAACTTTCGTATAGAAATAAATATGTAGCTGGTGGCCCTGTTTACATGTGAAAATATACCTACAGTTTAAGGCGACACCGCGAAAAAATGCACCTCCTTTCATCGAATAGTATAGGACTATGACACCACTAACGAAAGTGGAATTTTGATATAGGTAAATTCATGTCTTTATCTTGAATTTGCTTGTTCAAAAACACGATTGTATAATTTTGACCCGATCATAATTATTTGCGAAAACATGTCTAAAAATCATTATAGTTGAAATTACAACGAAATTACTTAATACATATGCTTGGGAATCACTCAAATATATTCACAACATCAATATTAATAACTTATTAGCTCATTATTTTGATTACTTAAATCAATAATTTTTTTTAAATATTTTAAGATTGACAATTTCTAAGCGGTCTTAATGGTCACGGGCGCTACGCAATTTTAGACCTTATGAGGGCGTTTTTTCAAGTTTTTATATAAATTATGTATTCACTCGGATCAATACGGCGATAGCCCGGAGCAACTTTTTCGATGTGTGGTCTTAACCAACCGTAATCGGTTACCACCGTATGTTATTGTAATGCATTACCGATGCATCGTCTCCCGCACATCAACAGCAGATGCACATACACTGGCACGTCATGCAGATTTACATGCGGTTTAAAGTACTTTATTTGTCATTAAGACAATTGTCACTTACATGAGAACAATAATACATATAATTTTAGTGCGTGTGGGATTCCGAGTTACTTTACCTTTATTACCGGACTACTGAAAAAGGGTTATGCTTTTAGGTGTAGTTAACTGCAAACTGCTTGATGGATTTTAACATTGAATTTATCTCTTTTCAGTAAACATTTAATGCAATCAGGTGTTTTTAAAATACCGTTGTAACCATTATAGTCGGCGCGTGGAGTTATAATGCTCATAAATTATTATTATAACATACAAATAGTTAAAATTTTATTGTATGAGTATTGAAGGTGTAGTTGACAATGAATTTGTTCAATGTCAACTATGTACTAAATGAACAAATCCATCAAATGTAAAATCTTTTTAATACACTTGACTCTGATATTTTTCCAATTATATATGAATATGTTGTTATGAAATTTACATTATAATCATTTTTTGAGAAAAGTCATCTATTTGATTTATACGCCTACCTAGCGACTAAAAAAATTATATATTTAATTTCTACGCTCCCTTTCAAATTCAGTCAATACACTCCATTGTAAGGAGCTATGATTTTTAATACCAACACTGGCAACACTGTTATTTATAATACACGATTAAAGTTTTAATGATATTAAATAACAGGAGTTGCCAGTTTAATTCGTTCTATTCCGATATCATTTGATAAATCCTAACTAATATCGTCCCCACAAGGTTGAGGGACACCCTTACTTGATAAGTTTGTTTTTCATTAGTCAATAAATACTAAATTAGCTAATCGATCGCTTAGTACCTTAAGTATGACAAGCGTATAATTTCTATGAGAGATTTAACGGACTTAGAGCTAGTGTAGTGCGTCGAGTTGTTAGGGCGATATAGTGGAAGAACTGCTATATTTTGTATAAATAGTGCTTACGGAACATTTTTTTACCCTTTAATCGACGGATTTTTACACATTTATTGTGCTTTAAAGCTTTGTGTGATTAATTACAGAGACGGCATTACCTTACAGATAGAATATGTTTGCTTATTTACGATTGACTGATTAAAAAAAAACTCTAAATTGCAATGTATAAAACAAACGCCCATACAACGCGACGCAAATATTTATAACAATGATCCTGTGATAGCTAGTGATGCATTTACATTTGAAATTATAACAATAAGTTTTTATTACATTTCTAATGCTGCTGTCATACAATTTACGTGTACGTGAATAAGTATGTTAACGTGAATGTAACCCTTACAATGTAAATTCTCTTCATCTGTACTAAATTCTAGTGTTGCTGTAATATCATAATATCTAGAAATTTTGTCCAAATAGGTCTTTTAAGTTTTTAAGGTTGCACAAGCCACTTTCAAGTTTTCTTTTCGAAAGATCAAGCTTCAAAGAAATGGCAATATATATACAAAACTTTAAACAACATGCAGTCGGCATGCCGTAAAAAATTATGATACAAAAAACGCTTTATAAAAGTGAAATTTTTTTCGGATTTATTTTCGAGTACAGCTTCTAGAATGATCCATTTGCAGAATTCGTACATTGCTCATGTGTAATACAAACGAATAATAAAATAAATAATCCAGTAAGTACACTGATACTGGATTATTTATTTTAATGTAATGCAATAAATATCTTGTAGTATCAGTAGCTACCACAGATAATAACATCAGTTTTATTAATAATCAACCAGAGGTAATGAGGACTTGCTTTGATTTCGTATGGTGGGGATGTTTCCTATTTACAAAAAATGTTTTTTTAGATTTATTGTAATACATATTTTATTACAATACTTTTTTATTATTAAACATTATTTTAAAATAATAAATAAGCCCGCGAAGTTACCAAAAAGAATATACTGACTATTTGACGATATTAAGCTATATAAAGATGGTTTTATAAACAAAAATAGTTAACGTGAATGTACTATCAATTGCATGATTTACTTGATTTATTGCCATATTATCAATTTTCGTGTAACAAGATTTCTTTGTTTAATATTAATTCATTAAAAGAATTAACAAACTCTTCGCAATATATTTGCAAAAAAGTTTTTGATATTTTTTTAAAATATTTTGTGTAGCAAATGATTAAACTAAAAATCACATAAATAAAATTGAATTAATATAAGGCCGTTGACTAAGACAATTCACTTCCTTTAATTCAATTATCTATTACAAACAAAATTTAAATAAATTATTTGTAGTTATATGTAACTGATGTTAAAATTAAATATTGTCAAAAAATGTTACATCTTTCACAAAAATGCCAAGTTTATCATAAGTGCAAAAACTTTTGTTCCATATTATTGAAAATTAACAAAAGTTAGCAATTTTTGTAAAATAATAATGCTTATAAAAAACTATATGAAACCTTGTTGTGTTATATTTTTTTAAATGTATTTTCTAAATTTTTGTAAATATTAATTTCCTATTGAAATAATTGTATGTGTAAGCCCGAACATTAGTAAACCTTTTTTCATCTAACATAACTGGAAAACAAAGAATATCAACAATTAAATTTTAATTGCATTATGAATGCCTGATAAAGTTTGATTAAAATTGTCAAGAAATGGGAAGTGAATTCAAATCACACCCTCATCCCCCATATATTTCAGCAGTAGATATCACATGAGACTATGATATGACATCTTCATCATTTTAATCAATGGTAGTTTGTGCTTGGCTTGACACATATTTAAAACATAATGCTTAAAAAACACTACGGTGTGGATATTGCCATAATGCAACCAAGTCCACACTAAAAATACTCTATATTTAGATATTTTTCCATAAAATAAATTTGTGGACTTAGGTGTTGACATAATTTACAAATGGAATTATTAAATAAATTACATACAGTTTGGGGGATCTCTTCACGCTGCTTTTTTTTTTTTTTTTTTATTTTTTTTTTTTTTTTTTTTTCTTTTTAATTATTTTTTTTTTAATTATTTTTTTTTTGTTTGTTTTTTTTATATAAATTTTTTTTATTGGGTGCCCGTTTGGGGTTTTGTGAAAAAGGCCAGCTTCTTTGACCGCTTGTCGTGCTTTTTCTGATATTTTAAAGCCATGAAGTCCTCAATGATTAATACTCTAAATTCACAATAATAGCTGTGGGTCAAATTATTTTAGAATGATAGACTATTAATTGCCATATAAAATCCAGAAGAGTGCACTATGCTGGGTTTGTATTTTTCTAATTACATTAGGTTTACCCCAAAAACATTTTTGTAAAATTCTTTTCAATTCCAGCGAAAATTAATTTGGTGTCTTGCTCGGTTGCAAGAATTTTAAAATCAAAAGTATGATTTGATTGCTTTATTTGTGGTTTTGTATAATTTTTATGTGTTGTCCTCATACCTAAGGCTTATGTAACGTTTCTAGGCGTCAGTCCTTGTGTCCCGCTAAAACTTGTCCTGGAATATGAACAGATTGTTCGTGGCCGCCACAGCAATGATACTCTCGTGCGGATGCCACGCGGTGTGGAGGATCTTCTTGTTGAAATCTAGGCAATCTACGCCTATTTCGTCCTGTTGAAATGTAACATAAACTTTATCATTATTATTCAAGGCTTTTCATTAAGTTTTAAAAATTATTAAATATTTTTTGAATTGTTCCTGGGGAAAATTAACGCTAAATAACGTCACTCGAGGTTGTCAAATATAATTTTCATGTGGTACAGCTATGCTGCAGGGCAATATAATTAGCTTCATTAGGAATCAAACAGAAGCAGTATGCTGATATGTTTCGTTTGATAACCTTAGAAACTATTTATAGTTAACAATTCCATCCATTCCATTCCATCTTAGATCTCGGAGTTGCCAGAGCAGCGACACCATCAAGTGGACTGTGTGTTCATTTATCACCCTATAAGGATTCTGGAGGAAAAAGAAGTAGTAGTTAAAAGGTAATAAAAGAGTGTAGCTATATAAGATGTATGAAAGATAGATGTAAGGGCCGATCCTCATTTGCCGTTCACAGTTCTTTCTCAGTCCGATCCCGGTCTGATAAAATATTATCAAGTAAAAAATATGTGTGTGCATTCATTCTAACCGTAACAGTCAAGTTTCGCTCGAATCCCATTCAAATAATATAATAAATTAGACCGAGATCGGATAACAGTCAAGTGACGCTCAAATGCCATTCCAATAAATCAGACCAAGATTGGATCGAGAATGAACTGTGAACGGCAAATAAGGATCAGCCCTAATGCTGCCGTGTTTCGTACAGAGTGTAGAGAACTGGAGACCCCTTTTACTGGAAACGAGGCAATGGTAGTCGACCAACCACAACCATCAGATGGACTGTAACCATTTGGTTATCATTAGTCATAGGTATATAATCAACTTCCGTATTACAAACTTTAACAAAAAAAATATAGCTATGCACTAATTATCGAAATTATAATTCAGAATTATCCGTTATAGTGCAGAAAGTCTAATTTTTCTGCATTTTCAGGCAGTAGTTTACTCCTTTTTTTCTTGTAGACATTTTTAGGTTCAGAGAAAGGACACTCTCAATAAACACTACTTCCTTCCCGGAACTTCTGCCAACGCCATTGAATAAATTCGAAGAGAACTATTTCGGCTTCTCAGGTCGATGTAGTACTTGAAAATGGTAGAGCCACGCAGCAGCTATATTTTGGTCATAGCACAAATGGGTTGGCTCGACCAGGGTAGGACCACGCTTAAGGTTCGTATGGTGACTGTAGAGAACCAGAGACCCTTTTTTACTGGGAACAAAGCATTCCGTCTTAATCCTCCGGGGGTAATAACGCATCTGTATTATGATTCTTAACCTAGGAGAAAAGTAGATGTCTATGGGCCACAGAAAAAAGGTTCTCGAGTGGCAGCCTCGTACCAGGGTAGGCGTAGTGTAGGGCGACCCCCACTAGATGGAGTGACGACCTGGTAAGACATGCAGGAAGTCGATGGATGCAGGTGGCTCAATACCGTGCTTTGTGGCACACCTTTGGGGAGGCCTATGTTCAGCAGTGGACTTGTGAATGGCTGTAATGATGATGATGGACTGTGCTCGTTTGTTTCCTAATTATATACTTTTTTTTTGTTTCCTAATTATATACTTTTTTAAACGCAGCGTAAGTGTTAGGTGTGTGGGCTGTGTGCAGGCTGTGTGTGTGGGCTGTACCTTCTTCCTCTTGGCGGTGGCGGCGACGCGACGCGCACGCAGCGGCTGGCGCGGACGCGCGGCCGCCTCGCGCGACGCCTCCAGGGTCAACTCGCCGCGCCGCGCGCCTGCCGCACCCGCCCCTGCGCCTGCACCCGCGCCCGCTCCGCCACGCTCGAATATCCTGCGATTCACCATCTTATTACTAATGTAATACGTGTTTTTTAGTGTGAACGTTATTTTTGATTACGACCTTTGTAGAACACAATTATTTTAGTGTTTTAATCACTCCAATGCCTCAACATGTTCGAATGTCCTGCAATTTACATTTCTATTGACAATCAAATAAGTGTGATTTTAGCATGAATGTTATGGGTGGTTATGTAGTAATTGATTATTTTGCAATTTCAAATTACAGTAAATCCGCTTCAACGTGCTGCGATTCACACGCTTATTACTAACAGAATAGGTGTGTTTTGAGCATAAATGTCTTTATCATCAAGTTCATCAAGACCTTTGTAATTCTCGATTATTCTATAATTTTCAACCCCACTCCATCCACACCGCACAATTGCGCGAAATAAGCAATATAATACAAAAAACTAGAAGTGAATACTATTAAGACTCGACCACTTCCAATCCCCCGAACAACCGGTTTCCGAAAAGGCTTCAGTACCATAGACCACATACATACCATGCGGCAGATTGTACAGAAGACATAAGAGTAAAATCTCCACTTTACCATGCGTATGTGGAATTTGAAAAAGCCTTTAATTCCATCAAAATTTGCCGGTGCTACGTTTGGCAGTTCCTTCAGCGGTGCCAAGTTGTCTGTCGGTATATCGAAGTGCTGAAGTCTGATCTGAGTACAGAAACAGAGTACGAAACCTATCCAACTGCACAGAGGTGTAAGACAAGGTGACGTTATATCCCCGAAATTCTTCACCGCTGCATTGGAAGACATTTTCAAGCTACTGAACTGGAAAGGATACGGTACTAATATTAATGGCGATTACATCACTAATCTTCTATTTGCCGACGATATAGTCTTATGGCAAAATCGCTGGAGGACTTAAGCACTTTGCTCAACAACCTCAATAGTGTCTCCAAATGGATAGGTCTGAAGATGAACATGAACAAAACAAAGATTACGTTTAATGTCCATGTCACACCTATGCCGGTAGTTGTTGAGATCACTAAGCTCGAAGTTGTTGACGAGTATGTTTACCTGGGACTAATAGTCCGACTAGGTCAGACTCAACTTCAATTGATTAGTTTAATTTTTGAAGTTTAGTTTTATTTTATTATGGTTTTTAATACTGTATGTATTTCAATGTTTCATTATATGTCCGCAGTAAGCCGCCATGTCTTTTTTTCTTTTTTATAGGATAGGGTGACAAACGAACACACAGTCCACCTGTTGGTAAGTGGTTGCTGTGGACCATAGACATCTACATCTATCCTCAATAACTAATCAAAATGCAGATGCATTGTCACCCATGAGGACTAAGATGAAATGCCTCGTTTCCAGTAAAAAGGGTCTCCGGTCTCTACACTCACCATACGAAACATAGCAGCATTAAGCTACTATTTCACGCCGGTATTCTGTGGAGCTTGGTCCTTCCCCGGTCGAGCTAACTCATTCGAGCTACAACTAATTTTGTATAGTTAGATTTTATATGATGTCATGCTTTTAAGGTATCTAATTTTTCAAAATACGATGAGAAATTTAGAAGATCTGAAGGATTTGATGAACATACATACAAAGCCTTCTAAAATTATAAACATCCATTTGGATTCGCCGTAGTTGCGTAAAAATATTCACTTAAATCATCTGCGTCAAATCAGAAGACACGAATATACTGCAAGCGGTATCGATAAGTGAAGTTGAAGAGGACAATGCATGGTGCAGCACTATTTGTCACCCACACATGCATATTAAGCGCACCCTGGTGTATTTAGATTTTGGTCTCGCCCTAATGACTCTATTGCCAAACTATACTACACTATATCTATGGTAAACCACACAAACCAGCCAGTTGACTGCCTCGTTGGTCTAGTGGTTGTAGTAGTGCGACTACTGAAAAAATCAATTACTGAGTTTTTCTGTCAAGCAATTCTCAGTAGATGTCCGGAGTCAGGAAGTTGGCGGTGTCTCACCCCCGTGCTCGGAAAGCACGTAAAGCCATTGGTTCTGCGCCTGATCTCTCTCCGCTCGTCTCGGTTTACCGTCCCATCGAATTATTAGAGTGATGGAATGGAGAGAGCACCTGTGCTTGCGCATACACTTGGGCATTATAATCCTGTCCTGTGCCGATGGCTAGCCTCCGTTGAGGCAGGCCGCCGTGGCCGAAATTCGGTCTGGAGGACATTAATAAACCACACAAACCAGCAAAAATGTGGAACTAATCAATGATCTGTCAAATAACAATATCAAAGAAACTACTGCTCCAAATAAACTGGTCACGCAAGGAGGATCTGTCGTTAGTGAGGGTAGAGCTATCTGTAAATGTTTTAATGATTTTTTCTCGAATTTCGGTTCGATCCTGGCAAATTAAATACCTAAAGTTATTCAAACAATATAAGACGCAACAACTTACGAAACTGGAAGTAATGCTATCCTACTAGTCACCCGCAACCGCACACGAGATCGGCAAAATTATAGACCATTTAAATCCTAACACTAGTGCCAGATAAGACGGGATAAGTACAAAATCTATCTGTTAAGAACATACATAATTGTTAAGTGTAGCTTGTAAAGTGCATTAATAACTGCTTCACACAAGGCTTTGTTGCTTTAGACTGAAATTTAATACTCTTTCAGCTATAATAGATTTAGTCACAAAATCAAAGTTGACATAGACAAAAAAACTAATATTTATATTTATATTAGAGCCATTTATTTCCGAACTTTGCGGTTACATAATATTTGTGTTTGAGTTCGTATTGTAATACTAGTTAAAGTAAGTCCCTCAGTTCGATGTGCCTTTTGGCATAAGCCTCCTCCAACTGCTTCCATTGGGTTCTGTCTGCTACTACCCTTATCCAGTATGGTCCCAAGGTTAGGCGGATATCGTCTTCCCATCTTCTGATTGGGCGGCCCTGTTTTCTGACGCCATCTCTTGGGTACCATAGGGTTACCTGCTTGCTCCATTTATTGGTCTTGCAACGAATCATGTGACCTGTCCAGCCCCATTTCAGATGGTCGATTCGGGTCAGAATGTCAGCAAACTTGGTATTATTTCTTATTTCCTTGTTGTTAATTCTATCCTTGAGTTTTATTCCCAACATACTCCTCTCCATTGCTCGTTGACATTTCGCAAGTTGCTGCTGGTGGTTTTGGTTGAGGGACCACGTCTCACAACCATATGTGATGCAGGGGAGAATACAGGTGTTAAATGTTTTCTTCTTGATAGAGATGCTTAGCTCTTTACTTTTCAATATTTCTCTCAGAGACCAGTATTTTTTCCAACCACTAGCAATCCTTTTGTTAATTTCCTTAGATGTTTGGTCACTAGGGGCAATTAATTGACCCAAGTACACATACTCTTGCACATATTCAAGTCTTTTTCCATCTAATTCTATGTTGACTTTTGTAGAGTTGGTCATCAGTTTTGTTTTGATTGTGTTCATTTCGAGACCTGCTTTCTTTGCTTCTGTTGGCTAGAGTTAGTACCATTGCTTGTAGTTTACTTGGGTCTTCTTCCAGCAAGATAATATCATCAGCAAACCTCAAATGATTTAAGACTGCCATTGATGTTGAGGCCATATTCATCCCAGTCTAGTCTTCTGAGGATATCCTCCAGCAGAGCCGTAAACAGTTTGGGGGACAGTGGGTCTCTTTGTCTGACGCCTCTATTAATGGGAAATAGGTCTCCTTTCAATTCCAGTTTGATGCGGCTTTTGCTCATGCTATAAATGTTTCTGAGTATCTCAATATAGGTATTATCTACTCCTTGCCATCTCAAAGCCGACCAAATGTATTTATGTTTCAAACTGTCAAATGCTTTTGTGTAGTCTATAAAAGCTATGTAAATGGGTTTTTGGTATTCATTACTTTTTTCCAATATTTGTTTGATAGTGTGATATAGTTTTTTCTGAAGCCTGCCTGCTCTATGGGTTGATTTGCGTCTAGAGTTTTTGTAATTCTTTCTAGCAATACTATTGCGAACACCTTATAGACGTTTGAGATCAAACTAATTGGTCTATAATCGTCAATTACTTCCCTAGGCCCTTTTTTATGCAGGAGAATTATGTGGGACTCTCCCCACTGATTTGGAATGACGCCCGACTTGAGTATGTCGTTTAATATCCTGGTGAGAATTGGAACCAGTTCCTATGCCATGCTCCTCATGAGCTCGTTTGGTATGTTGTCCGGCCCTGGAGCTCTTTTTAGTTTTTGAGAGTGTATGGCTCTCTTTACCTCTGCTATAAGTATGGGCGGTACATCATCATATCTATTTGTTGGCGACTTATTGGTTTCTAATTCATGGTCTTCATCTATATTCGAGAATTTCTGAATTTCTTTACATTTGTTACATGACTGGATTTGTTGCTTTTAACCTGTTAATCAAGCCTAGCTCACCTTCGATCGCGCAATACCAACCTTACGCCCGCCAAGTAGTGATCGAATTAGATCAGAATTATGTAAACATGTCTACCTATGAAAAAACTATTTTTTCGTTTTAAACAAAACCAAAGACACTGTGCAATAGATATTAGTATCAAAGACAAAGATATGCTCTTTTATTTTAAACCATAACCTGGCAATGTTTCTTAGAAAAAAAAAAAGAAATCACTCTGAACTTCCGGCGTTCCACGTGTCACTTTGTTGAAGGTGCTCCGTCTTTTTTATAGAATTTTATATTTGTGTCTGGACTAAAAACGAAAGTATTATACTTTTTTATATTCCTTGTAATATAGTGAACACATATATATATATAATTTGTGGTATAAAAAAGTGAAAAGTAAATTGCCAAAAGTGCTTCAAAATCTGGAAGGCCCATTATGGCGGCTGGGTCATAAATGTGGTATTTTTCACATTCTCATTTATTTTTAGTGTAAAATGTAAGTAAAAATAGTTTTCTTACATATTTCAAATAACTTGACTTTGTATTTATTTCAAATTCACACAAAACTATTTTAGAAATATTGTTCTAAATGTCACACAGATAAAATATTATAATTTAATTTTTTTTAATTTCTTTATATTTTAATATTTTGGTATGAGTAACGAATGGAAATACATAAAACATAAAAATATACATATTTCCAAACAATTTGATATAAATTTCTCCAAAAACAAAAGTGTAGAATTCAAATTAGTAGTAATTTTGTCACTAAAATTGAAGTATATGCTACTACTATGCTATACAGGGTAATTTACGTATTTTATTACAATTTCTAGCAACCAAAAATAATTTTATTCGATAGTTTATACATTCAACAAGAATTCCTGTAAGTTTTATCCATTAATATTGTCTCAAAGTGAAAATATAGCAAAATTTGCAATATAGCAAAAAAATTTGCTAACTTACAAATTTTCCCGCCAAAAAAGGTCCCGAGTGAACGGGAGTATTACATGGCGCGCGCTCGCTTGGCGAACAGGTTAAGTCTAAGAATCCATTCCTTTCCATGGTCCTTTAACTCCTTAAAAGCTTTTTTTCGTTCCGCCAGTTCTTTTAATTATGTCTTCTAGTTTTTTAATTATTTTTATCTTCCTGTCTTTTCTCATACTTTCCCGTATCTGTTTGCTAAGGTTGGAAATTCTGTTAAGGTTTCTTTTACTTTTATTTTTATTTAGAATAGTAATTTTCTTTCTTTTAACAGCTCTATTGTTTTGTCACTGAATTTGTTCCTGTCCTTTTTCGTAATTATTTTCTTAATTTCTGATAGTTTCTTGTCCAGGTAATCATATTTAACTCGAACACTCAAATCAGAGTTAGCAATTTCATGCAGTGGCATGATGTGAGCTGGTTCAATATTTTTCGAGTACTGTTCTGGTAGCAATATCGGAGTGTTTGTTATAGCTTTCCTCAGATTTTTATATTTTTCTTACAGACAGCATTGAGTAGTGTCAAATTATTTTCTAGAAGGAATCCTATTGGTCTGTGATCGTTGGTACTACTACTACTTCTCTTGCCACAGCAGTACTTCCCTAGTACGAGTTCCTCTCCTGCTTCTCTGTAGCCAACTTGTGCGTTGAAATCCCCCATGATTACAAGGTTGTTGTGTAATATTTCTTTGTAATGTCAGATAGGTTGTTATAGAAGTCTTCAATGTTCTTGGCGGCTTGTTCGGTAGGTGCGTATACCTGAATGATTGTCCATACTTTCTTGTAGCCCGGTAGCTTCATGTTTAGTATTGCTATTCTGTCTGAAATTCCTATTAGCTCCAGTATGTTTTGTTTTAGGGATTGTTTTATGAGAAATCCTACACCTCTGTGTCCTGCTGTTTCTCCTTTGTGGTATAGGATATAGTTTTCATACTCTTCTATTTTCTCTTCCAGTCTTCTCATCTCACTTATTCCTAAGATATCGTAGTTTATTTCCTCTAGTGACTTTTCTAGTTCCAGCAGACTTTCCTGTGTTCTAAGTGTTCTTGTATTTAGTGTTGCGATGTTGATTGTTGTGCGTGATTTTGTTGGAGGGTTTTGGTCTAGATCTCCCGCGGGGACCAGCCGTGTTGGGAGACATTTTGTTTGTTGTGGTTCAAAATCTTCTGTTCTAATTTGTCCGGTTCTTGGCAATGTTCTTCTGTGTAGGTTTGGTTTGTATAAATTCATTGTATTTGTTTTCCTTTGGTTTGGTGTAATGATGTCAGTTACAAGTTTTTTGGAGCTTTGGCTGATGAAACCGTTGTAGCTGGTCTTTTCATTCAACATATTTGACTGTGCTGGGTTTAAAAATTTCTTTTGTTGCTGTTTTGTTAGGTGGTTGTAAAGTAATATTGTCTTGTGAGTTAACTTTTTTCTGCGTTGACAAGTTGGGTGAGTTTGAGTCTTCCCTTTTTCTCTCGTCACGGCCTTTATCTTTAGGTTTCTTTACTATTAGTTTGTCGTGTTTCAGATAGGCCATGTTTCCTTTTTTTCTTTCCTCTTCTACTCGTGGCTGTAACTGCTTTCGTTTCTCTAGGACATCTTTCGGATAATCCTCTTTGACAATAATACCTGGTGGTAAACTAGTTTTGTTTTTCAATATCAAATGTTTCTTCCATATAGATGCAATGGAAACTACAACGGGACGATTTTTGTTGTCGGTACGTTGTCCAATTCTATACACGTTGGTAATTTCATGACTATCTAGGTGTGTTCCCGATTCTATTATAGCTTCCTTAATGTGGTCTACCAGTACAGCTTCTGTTTTACCCATCTCCTCTATTCCAAAGAAAACCAAGTTGTGTCCTCGCTTCTCTCTTTTTATGGCACTTAATTTTTTCTCTAGTGTTACGACTTTATTTTTAAGTAGAGTATTTTCTTCCATGATAGTTTTCAATTTCTCTTTCAATGCTTCCATAAAATTTCTTGTCACTGATGTTGTTATGAGCATAGTTTGTTGTTCGAGCTTTTTGATAATAAAAGTTCCATATTTTTTTCCATTTTTGTGGTAATTTTAATGTTGTAGTGGCAACACTGAATTGAATTCAAGAGTTTTTATTCACTGGTAACACTAAACCTTCATTGTCAATGACAGTTGGTATTTGGTTATGTTGGCAATAGTGATAATGCTATATTAATTCTATGATTATAACTGCTATTCACAATTTTAGGTTATGTTGTTTAGTGATAATTGCAGATTTTTCGCAAGATGAACAATATTCGCACTGTGATCACTTCACTAAGTTTAGTGCCAATACTTTATTTTGATGGGGTTGCGTCAAGATTACTTGATTATCCACTTTTTGCACTACTTTTACGAAAATATTCGCGGAGGACTTTGACGTACGTGTCTACGATACAATAGCCGGAACCGGAAGACAAGAAACTAATAGCACTAGGTATTTTTATAGACCTCAAGAAAGCGTTTGATACACTTAGTCATGAACTGTTATTGTGTAAATTGAAATATACTGGTATTTCCCGATCTGCTTATATGATATGCAGATATGTTTGCATCATATTTAACCAATAGATATCAAGTTGTAAAGATTGGCTCTAAAGAAAGTAAACCGAAATTAAAAACTTGCGAGTACCCCACGTGACTATATTAGGACCCCTGCTTTTTGCTTATTTACATCAATAGTAATAAAGGTATATAGGATTAAAAGGTAATATAACATCATATGTAGACGTCACAAGTCCGTTTTACTAAGAATATTCAATTGACGCACTGATTACCAATCAGATTTCAATACATACAATATGTGGGTTCAATCTAAACGCCTAACTATAAATCTTACCTAAACACGCTATTTAATTTTTACATCAAAAAATTAAAAAAAATTGGTAACTATAAGCCTCTCAAAACAAATAGTGAAGTAATTTCTAAAGTAGATAATGAAAAATACCTTGTCTTTTGGTGGGATAATCACATGACATTTAAGTCTCATATGAACAATATTAAATCTAAATTTCTAATTTTACGGATTTTATCGCGTTTAATTTAACCTTTTAATTGCGGACGTTTCGGTTACTGTAAAGTCCCTTTCGTGACGATGGGACGCGATAAAATCTGTAAAAATTAGTTTAATTTAATGTGTAGTTTTTGCGTAAAATTAAGAAATCATTAAATTAGTTTCTTTTACTAGCGCACTGCGAAATATAAAATGTTTACCACATAATGTGCGTTACATTATTTATAACTCGATATAATTCGCTAGTCAAAACCACATATTAAATACCTTATAGAGGTCTGGGGCACAGCAGCAAAAACCAATATAGAAACAACACAAGTAGTACAGAATAAACTGATTAAAGTACAATTTAATTACGATTATTGTACAGTATGTTTTCTTTAATTTACACATAAAATTTTTATTTTATTATTTTTATAAAATTTAAACATATATTGAAACATACTAATAAATACAGAACAATCAAACTTTAATTAGTAACATGTATTAGAATACTTTAAATTACAAACATTAAATAATTTGATCGAGAAATATAAAAAAATACATTGACATTGTCATTAAAATTTTTTGTATATTTTTACCTTGAACCGTATCTTTTAAAGTACAATTATTTAAAACACAATTACTCTTACTACCATTTATATGTAAAGAATAAGAAACAGAAATCACTGCTGCGTTGCTTGCTCTGTCATGATGTTCGTCCATATAATCATTTAGTATTATACAATTTTTCAATAAAAAAATTGGATTTAAGTCACTTGTACTATAAAATAATGTACCATACACGGAACTTAAGTAACCGATTATTAAAACGTGTGAAGTTAGCACACGAGCGAAGCGAGTGCACTAACTCTACACGTATTTTTATTTTATTACTTATCAGTTCGTTTGTGTGTCGTATCGTTTGAATTATGCTAACATTGTAAAAATTTCTGATATAAGTGAAGTTTAAACCTTTTGAGAAATAAATATCTTAAAGCACATACCTAAAGAATCCATTGTAGGAGCCTGTCATTAATCTCTGGTCGTCTCCGCTCCAGCAACACTCAAATTTATCAAATATACAATCATTCTCATATAATGAACACAACTTCGAGCGGAGGTATTCATGCACCTGTAAACATATAATAAAATTAAAGCTAAAAAAGAAACAGTCCATATATACATACATCCTACTACTAGGCACAAGCCTTCATTTCTGAGAAGAATATGGAGCAGTTTGGCCGCAACACTGATCCATTGCATTGTTGGTAGATTTCACATCTTCAATCAATATGAAATGGGTATACCGGACATGTATCGAATCCTGCAAAATTTCGGCAATAATTTCCTAAATCTTTACTTACGAAACCTAATAGATTAATGGGGTGATTAGCTCCCACGAAATGAAGACTAAAATAGCAACATGTGTTGTTATGGTGCTCTGATATTACATTCATACAAGTTTTACTTTACGTAAGTCTTGTATTCTAACTCTTAAATACTTACAAGATAGAATAAAACTATATGGTAGTTTTAAAAATATTTGTATTAGCAATAAAATCCTTCGCAGGTCCAAAAGCTAAGCATAGACAAAGGAATGCCACAAATCATGGATGAAGTGACATTCCTAGTAAGGCCATGCGGGAAGTTGATTTTGTGGCAAATTACTTTTATAAATAATATTAAAGAAATATACTTACTGGATATGTTTCTACAGGTTTTGTTTCCATTCTAAGATCCCATACTTTTAAACCTAAATAGTCTCTAGACATCATGTATCTGAAACAAAAAAAAAACAGTTTATTAAAGCCCAATGTCATTCTTATGTAGTTAGATACAACTTGCAGCCCACATCCTAGTGCTTAGCAAAAGCTTCCTTCGATTTCTTAGATTTATTGAGCAAATAATACTCCACACTGATCCAGTGAGTGGAGGCGGACTTTTTATGTCCTTGACTCCTCACGTTTTCCTTCAAATCCGAGCATGTAGTAAAACAATGCTTTAAAATGTGTCATAATCGTGTGGTATGTGATATTGTGGGTGATAAGGGTGGGGATATTAGCAATATAATACTCTGTAAAAAACAGAACTAAAACATAATAAATTATTCTACATTTTTAGTTTAGCGATGGCGGCGTAAGAGAATCACCCCATTATTTCATGTGGGTGTCGTAAGGGGCGGCTATGGAGAATGCCATACAACTCTATATAAGCACTTAGTTTTCGCTAGACACAAAATATCTAGATCGGTACGAGCAGCAGCGTCAAATATGCATGACGTCGTCATGACGTCTGGTGATCGTCGATCCACATGCCAAGCGTTACCATTAAGGCGAATCAAGAGGCTGATGTCTAGCAATTGACTTTTTTGCAGGCTAATGAAGGAGGTGAAGAAGAATCCTAAGAGAAGAAATTTTTGATGGCTCCATGGCACAGTGGCTTAGTAAAAAGTTGCATCGCTTGGCGTGCCGGTCGCACAGCGCACAGAAGTAAAATAACGTTAAGAGAGAGCCTACCTGCCGGAGTTGCTCAGCTTAACGTCGCTGATGGAGGAGATGATCTCGGAGAAGAAGGAACGCGCGTGCGGGTCCTCCGGCTCCTCGAACAGCTTGGCGTGCCGGTCGCACAGCGCCGCCGCGCGCATGTCGCACAGCCTTATCGTACCTGCGCACCACACCATAACGATCACAATCCCGGCACACACACATTCATACACCAAACAATAATACACTATAGACATCAAAACAGCAGTAAACAATAGTAATAATAATAAAAATCCCCTGCACCTTAATTTCAGTTCAATAAAAAGAGTATGTTGTTTCATACCTAATCAATAATGTTCAAAACTGGCTGCAATTTTATTTAGAATAAGTAAAGTAGGGAAGTTTTTTTTTTAAATAGGATAGGATGGAAAACGGGCACACAGTTCACCTGATGGTAAGTGGTTGCTGTGGCCCATAGACATCTACATCTATCCTGTTTTCGAATCAAAATACTGATGCGTTGTCATCCATGAGGAATAAGATGGAATGCCTCGTTTCCAGTAAAAAGGGTCTCCGGTTCTCTACACTCACCATACAAAACACAGCAGCATTAAGCTACTATTTGACGTTGGTGTTCTGTGAGAGCGTGGTTCTTCCCCGGTCGAGTCGACCCATTCTTACTATACCACTAATATAATTGCAGCATGGCCCTACCACGTAAATTAAGGAAGTAAATTAATAGCAATAATCCTTACCGTTACAGCCTATTAAAGTCTATTGCTGTTCATAAGCCTCTTCATATTTATAATTGGATAATTGCTATAGTTGTCATGCTTACTTCAAAAGCATGATTGACAACACAATATGTGTTACCTCGGAACTTTTCTCTAGGTGAACCTATTTTGATGATCCTTTTTTATCAGGTAAGCTCGTACTTCTCATGTCCCATATAAATTTAATTAAGATCTGACTAGTAGTTTTTGAGTTATCCTTAATAACCGCTCATTTGCTTCTTGCAACCACAGTTGCAAAAACAGAATCCTTAAATTTGCTCTTTGCAACTGTGGTTGCAAAGCGACGAAGTTCTTTTAATTGAATTTAGACGATATTTTAAACGCACAGGGTCTAACTATTACGTATTAAAACCAAAAACAAATATATAAATCATAGATTTGGATCAAAATTACCAACCTCTTAGACGAAAAATATCGAAACTTTGTTAGTTAAAGTTTAGTGAGTGAAGTGACGCTTGAGTGGATTTAACGAGGTGATAAAATATGCCGTGAGTATTGAATTTTATTGATTTTTGCTAGTATTTATATACCAAATTTATGTCTTATTAGTATTTTCTGGTATTAAAGCAATATTTTTGCAAATACTGTATGAAAAATGTGATAAGTCGACTTTTAAAAATACTCAGAATGACGCGAATCTGAACATAATTTTCTATAGCTTACATTATCGTAATTATGTTGTATTCTTTAAATACGAAATAGTCGTAGTGGTATTTGAATATAATTATTTAATTTAAGTAATAAAGTCTTATAAATTGTTCATCATATTATATGTTTTTATGTAACAACAGCCTAGATTTTAACTAACAAATAGGGATCAACTGCGCAATCCGTGAATTCTTTATCAGGTTTCACTTAATATTTTTACTATGTATTTAAATATAAATCTTTTTATAATATAGATAAATATATCAAGTAATTCATTAAGTTTAAGGATATAATAAATAATCATACACTTATCGATCTTATTTTTTTGATAAACCCGATGTTTTACAAAAAGTCGCTAAAATGGCTTGTACTTGTGATTTCAACACCTCTAAAATATTATTGTAATCATATTTTGATAGAATAACATACGTATTTTCTTTTCTTATTCAATGGCTATTCATAAAATTTAAAATATTTGAAGTGCTCCTCTCGAGTAAGTCATAAATTAAGTTTTATTGACGGCGGGTCGAACGTGAGAAACACAGTCCCGACTTACTGGCAAAGTAAGCTACGAAGTTTTTTTACGCAAGCAATCGAGCGGCTAACGCGCATTTAATTGACTGTTGTTCTCATTTTAATTATATTTAAGTCAGTTGCACGAAATGTTTCATTTTACCACTTGTTTATTTTTAGTCGTCACTACAAGACGTTTCTGTCCATCTCCTAATTTATTTCACTCAGTTACCTCTAACAACACCCAAAGGATGGCATATATATATATATATACAACGTGTCCCAAAAAACAACGATAAGCTAACACCGGAGGATAGACCTGCCCCGGACTAATCGGGGAAAAAAAGAAAAAAATATATCCCGATTATATTTTAAGTTATATAAAAAACGAAATTCTTCAGAAATTGAGACCGTTTATGATATTTTTCACTACCATGACCACAATTTTTTTAATATTTTTTCTTTTTTTTTTTATAGGCAACCTGAATAGTACTGCTATCTACCACAATTCTTAAAAACTCCAGAATAACTCTTGTTTTATCACGAAAGTTAATGAAACTTATTTTATTCCATAAATTTTTTGAAGACTTTTTACTTTTAACCAAATTTAACTTATCGTGGTGTAAAAAAAAAGTATGAACACTAGTATGGCAAGTTTTATTAAAAATTGACGCAACTAACCAACATTCCAAAATGGTATTATACTCTAGGAAAACAAGTTATAAAAAAATATGGACCTATTATTTCTAAACAGGGGCCAAATTCCTTAAATTGTAATTGTCAGTAATCACTTTTACTACATGCCCAAAATGGGTTCTTGTTACAATTTCTAGGAATTTGAATGGGGCATTTAATACCTTAGTTGTTAGAGAGAGATAGATAGATAGATATATTTACGTTAAAAAGAGACAACAACAGGGCAGGTAGAGAAGCTGTTATTATTCTCAGCAAGTCAGTTCAGTACGCTCTGCTCCTTTGTTTACTGCGCACCGTTCCCAATTCAACTTACGTGGCTCTCGTACATACTATCGACTTTTGGCTTGGCTTTTTGGACTGGATTCGACCTGCAAACTTAACTGGCCTGGCATTATTTGGACTGGAAGTGATCTGCAAACTGAACTGACCTGGCATTATCTTGGACTACGATTGTGTGTTTTGTGATTTAGAGTTCTGGAGCATTTTGGACTGTTTGGCATTTAACACGCCGCAACCGTACACACCACAGAAATACGCTAATATGCATTTAATCTATGGAGAATGCCGATGTAATGCTAACGCTGCTAGCAGACTGTATCGAGAAAGATACCCAGATGCTCAAAAATATCCTGATTATCGAGTGTTTATTAATGTGCATCAAGCGTTTTCGGAGGGTCCTATGCCATCCAAGAGGAGAAGTGCTGGAAGACCTAGATTGGATCGTGATGAAGAAGTTCTCAATGAGATAGAAAATGACTCTACTACTTCGGTACGTGCCATAGAAGAAGCTACAGGAATCCCGAAAAGTTCTGCACATCGAATATTAAAACGTCACAAGCTTCACCCATATCACTACAGGCGTGTGCAGACGTTATTACCGCGGGACTATCCGCTACGAATCACATTTTGCCGTGTAATGCTGCAAAGGCACAGTGAAGATCCCCAATTCCTAGACAAAATTCTATGGTCGGATGAAACAACATGCAAGAAAGGTGGGTATTTAAATCTTCACAACCCACATAGTTGGAGTAATGAAAATCCACACTTGATGAGACAAGACAAATCCCAATATCAATTCAAGGTTAACCTATGGACCGGCATATTAAATGGAAAAGTAATTGGGCCCTTTGAGTTACAAGGAAACTTAGATGGCAATAGTTATTTAAACTTTTTACAAAATGACTTGCAAGAATTGTTAAACGACGTGCCCTTAGGTGATCGTCAAAACATGTGGTTCCAAAATGATGGTTGCCCAGCACATTATGCCCGTCCTGTGCGAGAATATTTATCCAGGGCGTTGGATCGGGCGACTTGGTCCTATCTTATGGCCACCCCGTTCACCCGATTTGAACCCCCAGGACTTCTTCTATTTGGGGTTGTCTTAAAAACAGGGTCTACTCAAAACCCATTGCGACATTGGACGAGCTTTGTCGAAATATCACTCAGGCTGCTGATTACATTAATTGCAGAAGATATGCAAGACAAATAAAACGATCATTTTTAAGGCGATGTCGTGCATGTATTAATGCTGGTGGCAAACAGTTCGAACATTTGCTATAATGTTAATAGCTTAATAAATTACACGTGAAACTGTTTTACCATTTTTTTGAAATATTAAACATTTTTCAAGAACTAATACTTTTATTACACCCGACCGTCATTTGGCTCCTGTTAAGAAATTATAGGTCCATATTTTTTTATAACTTGTTTTCCTAGAGTATAATACCATTTTGGAATGTTGGTTAGTTGCGTCAATTTTTAAAAAAACTTGCCGTACTAGTGTTCATACTTTTTTTTACACCACGATAAGTTAAATTTGGTTAAAAGTAAAAGTCTTCAAAAAATTTAGGGAATGAAATAAGTTTCATTAATTTTCGTGATAAAACAAGAGTTATTCTGGAGTTTTTAAGAATTGTGGTAGATAGCAGTACTATTCAGGTTGCCTATAAAAAAAAGAAAAAAATATTAAAAAAATTGTGGTGATGGTAGTGAAAAATATCATAAACGGTCTCAATTTCTGAAGAATTTCATTTTTTTATATAACTTAAAATATAATTGGAATATTTTTTTTTCTTTTTTTCCCCGATTAGTCCAGGGCAGGTCTATCCTCCGGTGTTGGCTTATCGTTGAATTTTGGGACACGTTGTATATATATATATATATATATATATATATATATATATATATATATATATAACAATATGTAATGTAATTAATGCACAACCTCAGACACCCCAATTAGTATATTATGTTATAATCATAATACATACACTAGACTTTTAGTTAAACATTTTATGCACTGATTATTTATCAAATTAGTTATATTAATTCCGGAAGAATGTTGTGGTCACAGTACAAATCCATGAACGCAAAGACTGTAACGTGCTTGAAATCAAGTTCATTTTTCTTCATTTCTATTGAATGACAGAATTAGTAATAATACAAATAAAATTGCACTCTTAAAAGTCTTATTGGCTTAAGTTACGGTCCATTTCAGTTTGTTTTGACTGTACAGATTTAATGTGACTGTAATTTACGTAGTTTTAATTATTTTTGCGATATAAAATTACCTATATTGAAAATGATAGGAATCGATTCAGTAAACAATTCTGAACAAACTACTTTCTCAAAGTGCGTTAATTATGTTACATGTTGTATATATATATATATATATATATATATATATATATATATATATATATATATATATATATATATATATATATATATATATATATTGCAGTTTTTTATGTGTATATAGGAACCATTGATGACAAAACTACCTTATTATGCCCAATACTGCGTTATTTTTCTCTTATACATAATGTATTATCTATGGTTATATTCGCTGAGTGAGGACTACTACAAGTGAATACTCATTTCTGTGGTAACTTGTAAAATTGTGAAAATGAAATGAAATACATTTATTTCTTAAAAAATAGAAATTTTAAATTTTATGTCTAATGTATTTTCTTCTCAAAACTTATTACTGTTTTCAAATGAGGTTACCCTAAAGGAAGCAGAAACTGTAATAGCACCAGCGCAATGAATAGATCCCCCAATTATTCGAAAGTTCTCAAGAAAATCGTGATCATCTAATTTTGACAAATTATAAATAAAATATAAGATATGCAAGAAATATTTGGCTACTTTTATCCTATAATCGAATAATAATTTGAAACGGTTGAATACCGAATAATCTAAGTACTATTTGGCGGAATACCGAATACTTAAGTAAGTAGTTTTATTGAACTCAGATAATTGGTAAAATGAAAATATTCTATAATTAACTTTTTTTTTTCTTGTTATTCATCATAATCAACTCCCATATAATAAAAATTTAATTAAAAACATATGTTATAAATGTGTATGCAATCAAATTATCGTAATTAAAGTGAAATATAATGGTACAGAAAGACTAATTTTACTTCATTTTCAAGCAGTAGTTTACTCCTTTTCTTCTTTTAGACAACCCCAGCTTCAGAGAAAGACGCTCTGAAGAATAAACACTACAATGGCTATTCGACCAGGAAGTTCGCAGAATATTCGGTATTCGGCGTGTGGCCGAATATAATAGTCGTTGCAAGTCTAAAAAATATTAAAAAAAACAAAATCCCGACTTACCCTTACTACTAGAATATACAAAGAGATTGCATTCAGTCGGGTGGAACTCTGCCGCGGTTATAACCTGCAATAAACATATTATTTAAGCAAAATCGATAAAGGAAAATAAATATTATAGAACCTTAGGTATTGTCGGGAATCATGGAATTTAGAAATGAAAAAGATCATCTTATATGGGACTTGAACTAAGTGTCCAGTGTCCACTTAACCCATTAACGCCCTCTGTACTTGCTTGAGTACACCTCGTTATGTCGATATTTGATGTACTTTGGCATTTGTTTCAATAGAACTAATTGTTTATTTTGAAACTAGATGACTCTAGTAGACTATAAAATCAATCGTTTTGACAGTGACGCGTAAACTAATGTCAAAAATTTTATTTCGTGTAACGGTTTTGTGACTTTAATTTGGAGGTAAGTAATTATTGTTGATTTTAAATATATATTTTAAAGGTTTTGAATAAATTTTGGATTTTAACGTTCGATAATACTTTATTACTGCTTGTCAAATTGTACTTTAAATAAAATCTTTAATTCTGCCATATTACGATGATTTATACCTCTGTACACAGACAGGTACAATGGGCATATGTATATGTTATTTTTACTTTTTTTACAGTTGTACTTGAAAACCAGTAAATGGTGAACCGCTGCGTTTTTTCGAATCGAAATAACTACTCGAAGCTTGAGGAAGCACTAGAATCGATACTGGCTGGTGAAGATCAAGATGTAGAGTATGATGTAGTGTTATTACCGCCAGATCCTGCTACCGTAAGTGACGAAGAAGAGGGTAATGAAGACGACTTAATTTCTTCAACTCTGCCAAGGGATGTTCCAGGGACCTTAGAGGTAATTCTTCGCCATCCTGATTATGACGTTTCGGACTGGAATGACAGTGTCGATGAGCCCCTATCAAACACGGCTGGGACCGCAGAACACTCTAGAAATAAACGGCCTAGAAACCAACGCCAGCAGCCCGAAGTACCTGTTTGGAGGAAAACTTTACCCCAATACAGTGCTGTTTATGATACTACAGATACATTACAAAACTGACAACAAAGTATAATAGAAAGCTTAAAAGATTATAGTCCAGTTATGCTGTTTGAAAAAATGTTTGATGACGATGTAATGTGTCTCATAATAAATAACAGTTTGTTGTATGCTGGTCAAAATAATAAGCACAATTTTGAGCTGGACATCTATGACTTGAAAAGATTTTTGGGTATATTGATTCTTACTGGCTACCATCAACTACCATCTGAATGTGCATATTGGAGTTTAGATGAAGATCTGGGCATTCAATTAGTGGCAAGTTGCATGTCTCGAAATAGATTTACAGATATAAAGCGATACTTACACCTTGTTGATAATTCTTTAGCAAATAATACAACCGACCAGATGTTCAAAGTGAGACCGTTGTGCGATTTGATTCAGCGAAACTTGTCAGTGGGGAGTTTTCCACGAAAATTTATCTGTGGACGAGTCTATGATAAAATATTTCGGTCGTCATCCAGCTAAACAATTTATTAGAGGAAAACCCGTACGGTTCGGATACAAAAACTGGGTCGCAACTAGTTCAGACGGTTACTGCTATACTTTTGATATAATGATTTCTTAAATTTACGCGAACACTACACATTGAATAAAACTATTATTTACGGATTTTATCGCGTTTAATTACTTTAATTTATTTTTATTATTATCCCGACGTTTCGGGTGCTTTACAGCGCCCATGGTCACGGGGGGGGACTGAGATGTTTGACGTCCCAATGTCATAGTTAGTCCGGCTACCTTCAGTTTTTTAATATTAATTTTTGGTCCGATTTACGCAAAACGAGCTTATAGTATCATGAAGTCTTGCAGTGGTATGCTTGGGTTTGGGTTTAATTTTGTGGATTATAGGATCCCAAGCAGATGGTAGCACCCAACCATCTTCTCTATTGAAATTTGGATGTTTTTTAATTTCAATAGCCTCGCGTATCATCCTTGGTAGGAATCGGTGTTCTTTTGCGAGAATTTGTGGTTTATCAAATCTAATGTAATGGTGGGGACGATCTTGAACATGTTCGCAGACTGCAGACTTCCCGGAGCGTCGGTGCTTCACATCAGCTATATGTTCCTTCACGCGGGTTTTTATGGATCTCTTTGTTTGACCTATGTAAGAGAGACCACATTCACAATCTAGCTTGTACACACCTGCATCTTGTAGAGGAATATTACATTTGATGGATGGTAAAAATTGACTAATCTTCTTCAGCGGCTTGTAGTATGTCTTAATGGACGCTCGCTTCAAGATGTAGCCAATCTTGTCCGTGACTCCTCCAACATATGGTAGTAGAGCAGGTGCGCGCTCGACTGTTGCCGGCTTCACTCGTTCACTGTGACGTAGGCGCGGGACCCGAAGCTTGTTGTCTTGCAATACTTGCTTGACGTGCTGAAGCTCCGCGGCCAGATGTTTTCTGTCACAGATCCCTCGTGCTCTCTGAAACAAAGATTTACCCACGGTAGCTAACTGTGAAGGATGATGGTGAGATTCACCATTTAGATATCGGTTGGTATGGGTCTTTTTCCTATACACAGTGTGACCAATAGTGTTATCAGGATTTCGGATGACTAAAACATCTAGGAAAGCTAAAGAATTATTTGCCTCTAACTCCATTGTGAATTGTATTTTAGAGTTTATGGAGTTAAGGTGGTCTAAAAATGCAGTTACTTTGTCAGATGGTAAAATTGTGAAAGTGTCGTCTACGTACCGCTTGTAGAACCTTGGATTTACAGGAGCAGTAAGAAGGGCTTTCTCCTCAAAGTCCTCCATGAATATGTCGGCGACTATGGGAGACACAGGTGAGCCCATCGCCACACCATCTACTTGCTTGTAGAACTCCTCCTTCCACAATACATAGCCAGATGTGAGGCAATGTTCAAGTAGTATTGCATATTCTTGAGGCATGTTATTTTCTTCCAGCTTCCTAGTTACAATTGAGATGCAGTCCACAATAGGTAGGCATGTAAATAGTGACTGAACATCAAAACTGACCATAGTTTCATTGTTAGCGAGATGTAGGTCTTTTATCTCACTCACAAAATGGTATGAATCCTTTGTGTGTGCTCTGGTATGTCCTCTCAGTGGTGATAGTATTTTTGCTAAGTATTGTGCCAGCTTATAAGTTGGTGAATCGATCTGGCTCACTATGGGACGTAGTGGAGCGTTTGGTTTGTGTATCTTCGGTAACCCATACAACCTCGGTGGTTTGGCACATGATGGTATTAGCGAATTCACGTCGAGATTTAATTTTTCGGAGTATTTCTTTATTAAATCGCTAGTTGTTTTAAGCGTGTTAGTTGTAGGGTCTGTTTTGACCTTTTTATATGTACTTTCGTCCGATAAAAGTTGTTGTATTTTAAAATTATATTCAGACGTGTCCATTACTACCGTAGCATTTCCTTTATCCGCGCGGAGAATCGTGAGTTCTGGTCTGTTCCGTAAGTTATTTAGCGCTGTAAATTCGTCTTTGGGAAGGTTTGGTTTCGGCACTGAACTGCGACGTAACAAGGACGAAATATCTTGACGTATGGCCTCCAAATCTTCCTTACCGATATTATTCTTAAACAGACAATCCTCAACACTGCAGATAATTTCTTCGTACGGGATTTTTCGCGGAGTTAATGCGAAGTTCATTCCTTTCGCTAATACTTTCATTGTCGGTTCGTCCAGTGTATGTTTTGACAAATTACAGACAGTGCGTTGTTTATAGTTTGTGTCTATGGTCAACGGTTGTTTATTGTTCTGACGTTGACTTGGATGTTTGGCATTTAATTTGATCGTTAATTTTTGGTATTTTTCTATTTGTTTATTTTTGCATTCATTGTATTTTGATGTTTCTAGTTTTTTTAAAGTTTCGATGCAATTATTAAAATCAAATGTTACGGACGGTGATTCAGCAGAAACGGTTCGATTTACATTTCATAAACAACACCATAGACAATTTGTCCAGTGAACTAAAGACAATTTTAACGACATTTGATTTTAATAATTGCATCGAAACTTTAAACAAACGAGAAACATCAAAATACAATGAATGCAAAAATAAACAAATAGAAAAATACCAAAAATTAACGATCAAATCAAATGCCGAACATCCAAGTCAACGTCAGAACAATAAACAACCGTTGACCATAGACACAAACTATAAACAACGCACTGTCTGTAATTTGTCAAAACATACTACGTTGAGGATTGTCTGTTTAAGAATAATATCGGTAAGGAAGATTTGGAGGCCATACGTCAAGATATTTCGTCCTTGTTACGTCGCAGTTCAGTGCCGAAACCAAACCTTCCCAAAGACGAATTTACAGCGCTAAATAACTTACGGAACAGACCAGAACTCACGATTCTCCGCGCGGATAAAGGAAATGCTACGGTAGTAATGGACACGTCTGAATATAATTTTAAAATACAACAACTTTTATCGGACGAAAGTACATATAAAAAGGTCAAAACAGACCCTACAACTAACACGCTTAAAACAACTAGCGATTTAATAAAGAAATACTCCGAAAAATTAAATCTCGACGTGAATTCGCTAATACCATCATGTGCCAAACCACCGAGGTTGTATGGGTTACCGAAGATACACAAACCAAACGCTCCACTACGTCCCATAGTGAGCCAGATCGATTCACCAACTTATAAGCTGGCACAATACTTAGCAAAAATACTATCACCACTGAGAGGACATACCAGAGCACACACAAAGGATTCATACCATTTTGTGAGTGAGATAAAAGACCTACATCTCGCTAACAATGAAACTATGGTCAGTTTTGATGTTCAGTCACTATTTACATGCCTACCTATTGTGGACTGCATCTCAATTGTAACTAGGAAGCTGGAAGAAAATAACATGCCTCAAGAATATGCAATACTACTTGAACATTGCCTCACATCTGGCTATCTATTGTGGAAGGAGGAGTTCTACAAGCAAGTAGATGGTGTGGCGATGGGCTCACCTGTGTCTCCCATAGTCGCCGACATATTCATGGAGGACTTTGAGGAGAAAGCCCTTCTACTGCTCCTGTAAATCCAAGGTTCTACAAGCGGTACGTAGACGACACTTTCACAATTTTACCATCTGACAAAGTAACTGCATTTTTAGACCACCTTAACTCCATAAACTCTAAAATACAATTCACAATGGAGTTAGAGGCAAATAATTCTTTAGCTTTCCTAGATGTTTTAGTCATCCGAAATCCTGATAACACTATTGGTCACACTGTGTATAGGAAAAGACCCATACCAACCGATATCTAAATGGTGAATCTCACCATCATCCTTCACAGTTAGCTACCGTGGGTAAATCTTTGTTTCAGAGAGCACGAGGGATCTGTGACAGAAAACATCTGGCCGCGGAGCTTCAGCACGTCAAGCAAGTATTGCAAGACAACAAGCTTCGGGTCCCGCGCCTACGTCACAGTGAACGAGTGAAGCCGGCAACAGTCGAGCGCGCACCTGCTCTACTACCATATGTTGGAGGAGTCACGGACAAGATTGGCTACATCTTGAAGCGGCGTCCATTAAGACATACTACAAGCCGCTGAAGAAGATTAGTCAATTTTTACCATCCATCAAATGTAATATTCCTCTACAAGATGCAGGTGTGTACAAGCTAGATTGTGAATGTGGTCTCTCTTACATAGGTCAAACAAAGAGATCCATAAAAACCCGCGTGAAGGAACATATAGCTGATGTGAAGCACCGACGCTCCGGGAAGTCTGCAGTCTGCGAACATGTTCAAGATCGTCCCCACCATTACATTAGATTTGATAAACCACAAATTCTCGCAAAAGAACACCGATTCCTACCAAGGATGATACGCGAGGCTATTGAAATTAAAAAACATCCAAATTTCAATAGAGAAGATGGTTGGGTGCTACCATCTGCTTGGGATCCTATAATCCACAAAATTAAACCCAAACCCAAGCATACCACTGCAAGACTTCATGATACTATAAGCTCGTTTTGCGTAAATCGGACCAAAAATTAATATTAAAAAACTGAAGGTAGCCGGACTAACTATGACATTGGGACGTCAAACATCTCAGTCCCCCCCGTGACCATGGGCGCTGTAAAGCACCCGAAACGTCGGGATAATAATAAAAATAAATTAAAGTAATTAAACGCGATAAAATCCGTAAATAATAGTTTTATTCAATACTTTTGATAGTTACTGTAGCAAATCTGCAGACGCTTCGTCGGATAGTCTTGGCGCAAGAGTGGTAAAAACTTTACTTGCATAAATGCCCATAAATAAAGTAAAGAACATATCGTGTATTTTGATAACTTTTTCACGAATTACCAATTACTGCATGACTTGCATTTTTTGATCTTCAAGGAACTAGAGCGACTGGTACAATTCATGATAATAGAACAAAAAAATGCCCACTTCTTTCTGTAAAAGAAATCAAAAAGTGACCTAGAGCAGAATATGACTATCGCTTTGATACAAAAAATGAAATTGCGATTGTAAGCTGGAAAGACAACAACGTTGTCACTATGGGTACCAATTTTGACAAAAATGAACCTGTAGGAAAAGTAAAAAGGTTGCACCACCTTTTGTTGTACAAGAAGACAAAAAGTAGATGTGAATATGCCAGGACTATTCGTGAATTACAACAAAGGAATGGGTGGTGTAGATTTGATTGACCAATCCATAAGTCTGTACCGAGTTTCGATAAGAAGAAAGAAGTGGTGGTGGGTAATATTTACCTATTTACCGGATATGTCTATCTCTAACGCTTGGAGACTGCATGTTTTACTGAGCAAATCAACAGAAAATATAACTTTGACATACATGGACCAATTGTCCTTTCGAAGAAGCATTGCGCACCTGCAGCAAACAAAGTAAATCCCGTCCTTCAGCCTCAACAGTGGTTGGGTTAGACAAAAAAATTACGCCACAACCCACAATGCATCCAAAATCCGCTGCGTTGTGCTGTATGTCACAGTCGCGTCCGATGGCGTTGCGAGACCTGCCTAAAAACATTATGCGTAGAGCGAAGTTGTTTCGGAGAATTTCATTCTTGATCCGCCCACTGTACTCGCCTGTGTACACCCTTATAAGTGCGATGTGACAGTTATTTTTTAATTTTTTCTTATAAATGTTTTATATAGGGTATTCTATATAGGGTTGTTAAAAAAAAATTACAATAGTTTTATTTTGGGCGTTAATGGGTTAATAGAAATAAATAGCAAATCAATAAATGACCACACTAAGATTACATCTGAAAAAATTCTGTCTCTACTAGTATCATTCATATATAAATTATGACATGGGCCTCTACCGTTGTAAGACTTTGCCACAATTGTCAAATAGACAGTCACAGCATCAAGTCTTAAGGTACCCACTGATGATACATCCATTTAGAAGACTTCCAAATGGATGTACTCCAAATGAAAACTTATCCAGATACGGTACCATTGACGATACTTTCATTTGGATGCATAGCGTTACTTCGAACTTGGCAGTCGTACGGAATGAAACTAAATAATAATAAGGATAATAATACTTTACTGGTGACTGCAGCAGTGTGTATTTCATTAAAAAGACAAAAAACCTAAACGGAGTACTCCATCGTAGTCTTCAATGATAACGCATCTAAATTTTGATTCTTAATTGAGGATACATGTAAATGTCATGGGCCACCCACCACCAGGTGTACTGTGTGCTAGTTTGTCACTGCCATTCTAGATATGATGGATAAAGAAATCAACATATAGTGGATATTTTTCATTATAACTATATGTGGTAGAGCAACTTTGCATATATATTATGGCTGTAGCACCAATGGGTCGGCTCGAACGAAGAAGGACCACAATCTCACAAAATAGCAGCTTAAATCAGCTGCATTTCGTATGCTGAGTGTAAAGAACCAGGGGTGACAATGCATTTACATTTTGATTGTTATTTGATGACAGATTCAGTCTATGGGCTACAGTATCAACTTAACATCATGTGGACTGTGTACTCGTTTGTCACCCATATCACAGCCCGTAGTTTACATAATAAAAATATTTTTAATCCAATACACAGTTTGTGTTTGACAAACAGAGCACATGTACCACCATCAACACCAAAACATTAACTGACACAATAACGTCCAACAAATGGACGCCGGTTCGCCCATTCACTGACAATTCGGACTGCTTCCATTTAGCGTGGCGCACGTTTTTCACATTGTCGTACGGCCGTGGATGACGTCCATTTGAACTGGACGCATGGATTTCAATCCATTTGGAAATCCAGAGCCGGATGAAATCCATCCGAATAGAATATGTTTTTACCATTCACGGTACGATTTTGGACGATTACCACTCCATTTAGATTAATAGACGTATCGTCAGTGGGCACTATTACACTTTGGCAGCTAAAGTTGGTTGCACATCCATTGTCACTCTATGAAAACTCAGATGGAACACAAGTGCAATTATAATAAATTAGCTCTACTTAGTTAATTATCAATGTAAGTGAATTATCACACCTCAGTGAGTTCCTCCATATTGGCAGGCTTTATGTCCACGATATTAAAGCTCTGGTCAGTGATTTCAAGGTGCCATAGATTTATACGAAGATCATCTGCAGAAAGGTAAGTTTCTTGGTCCGAATTCAATGAGATCGAGTTTATGTGGTATGTGTGAGCATTTGCGAAGATCCGCCTGTAAAATATAAAAAAACATTTTTATTGATATTGTGATATAGGTGTTGATCCAGTGTTTTGTTTAAAAAATAAAATAGAAAATGTCATTAAATTTGAAAAAATGGCAATAATCTAAACACGTGATTTCAAGATGTCCTGACTGTAGAAGTGAAGGTGTATGTAATAGAGCAAGCTCAAATTGTAGTGCTGCTTCTTGACCTATTACAATGTCTCCAGACCTTATTTCGGTTACGGCGGCCCATGTCACTGGAGACTAGCCAGACAGTATTATAGTGCTAGAGTATATGCGCTTCTATTCTCACTCTCATAATCCGATGGGATCAGGTGCCGGACCAACGGTTTTACGTTCTTTTCGAAGCGCGGGAGTAAAGCACCACCTATTTCCTGACTCCAGGCTACAACTACTGAGAATTTCTTGACAGAAAAACAGTCCCTGGCTCTATGTGGCTTTGATAACCCCTCAAATTAGACAACTTTATTTTTTGTATTTAACAACTATAATTTATTAAGTAATTGTTTTATTTATATTTTTATTTTTACTTTTTTATTGTTGATACATGTTGTATTTTATTTTATCAGTTGCCTAAGACCCAGTATGAATAATGCGCAAAAGCTGTGGCAGAATAGCAGGAGTAATGGGTTTCCCGTTACAACTGAGTCACAGACCGTTTTGTCACAACTAATTATTAAGCTCTCTATTTAAATTTTAACATTGTATTTTTGTGTGGCAATTAAATACTTTTTATTTATTTATTTATTTATATTGAAGGATCTTCCGCTCACCAGATGTCGCTAGCTGACACTGAGGTGAAGGTTTTTGTTACAAAATATCTTTTAATTGAGAAGTTAGTTTTAAATAAAAGTTTATCAGTTCCTAGAGTATTATATTATTACACAAAACAATGCCTCAGTAGTTTGCCCTTTAATCTAATTCTACTTTTATGAATATTTGTGGTTTGATTTATTTATTTATTTTATAATCTAACTTTTTATTTATGTAAAATATAGCTAATAGTACAGTAAGAAAAATTACCCAACCCGGGATTCGAAACCAGGACCTTCATAATCAGCAATCGCGTAAACGACCACGAGATCAACAAGGCAGTCCATCTTGACTTAATATTATATTATTGAAGCCTTGTCTAAGGAAATTTATCGCATTTTCATTCTGTATAAGTAAATTTGCAGTAGTAGAGATAGTCTACATTCAGAGCCCGAAAGCTACTACCTTTTAGTAAGAACTATTTCATTGCTATATTCAACAGCAAAGCGAAATATCGCCTACAAGCGCTAAAAATACGCGTCACAGTCAACAACTCACAATTGATTTTTTTATTATTAATGATCTATAGCCCATCTGTAGCTGTAATGAAACAAAGAAAGCTGAATCTTGAGGAAAAAAAATACTTAATATATAATGTTGCATAGAACTTTTTAAATAGAATAGTTTAAAGAACATTTTACGGCCGCATAAAGTGTTTTAATCAAATTTTTGACTTATCAAAAGAACAAACATTAAAAATCTAGTTATTCAAGGTAAGCATGACATATAATAATGCATGTAACGAAGCAGTTCTAATATACATTACAAACAGGTAATATGTTTTTTACTGGAGGGATAGATAATAATATTTACCCTCCATTATCACAATGCTAATATACTTTGAATGTGACGCGAACAAGTAGTGCACGATTGTTTTTGAACTGAGTCTGACAAACAATGTGATCTTAACCAAAGTGAAATACTTTCAACTAAACGGATATTTGGGCCCTGATTTGTATTCTAACAGTTTCGTGCATCAAAATTAACTGTTATAAAAAATTTGCAAAAGTGTGATGATGGGCGACGCGTTATTGTTATCGGTAATATTTTCTTAAAATTAAATTCTACAAAGAATGTTTATTTAAATTTTTAACCGAAGTATTGGCATAAAATTTACCTGGTTAGTCGAAAATAAGACTTAATTATTAAACAATATAATAACTTCATAACTTTGCGAAAGCCAATTAATTAGAAATAAAAACCGATAATTGTTTATTAGAACACTATACTTTTTTTAAGTTACATACTAGAATATCTTGTTATTGCTCTTTAGCAAATTGAAATTGCATGATTTAATTGTTTACGCGTGCGAGCGCGCGCGCGCTCGCAGTGTGTGTGTGTGTGTGTGTGTGTGTGTGTGTGTGTGTGTGTGTGTGTGTGTGTGTGTGTGTGTGTGTGTGTGTGTGCGCGTGTGCGTGTGTCTGTATGTGTGTGTGTGTGTGCGTGTGCGTGTGTCTGTATGTGTGTATGTGTGTGTGTGTGCACGTGTGAGTGAGTGCGTGTGTGTAATGCACGTGCTCGACTGTTTTGTCATATTCCTTGGCGGGACAGTTCCTAAACCTTTCCTCCATTTCATTCCCGCACGACTCCATCCCTGGACGGCTCACCTCGGTAGGCCCCGTTCAGGATTGATAGGGCTGATAGGGCTGTTAGGGTGGTAGTAAGGTTGTAGGGTTGGGAGATAAAGGGGGGGAGGGGTAGTGGGGTTAGGTTGGGGTGTAGAAGGGTTGTAGGTAAGGGGTTGTAGGGACCGTAGGGACAGTTAGGGACCGTAGGCCAACAATCACTAAATGTACATAAAATTATCTTGTTTAATTTGCCTTAAATACAGAGTTGGCCACAGGAGAATAAAATAAGATATGATTTAAATTTATTTTATATTTTTATTAATTATTAATATAATGATTTCTTAAATTTACGCGAACACTACACATTGAATAAAACTAAATTTACAGATTCTATCGCGTTTATTTAAATGATTTTACTTATTTTTTTTAAGATAGCTTTTATCAAAATCCTCCCTAAGCCCCACAAGAACGATTATTTAAATATCTCTTCTTTCCGCCCCATAGGTCTGATTAATGTATTTGGAAAATTATTTGAAAAACTAGTTATACGTAGGTTAACATATTTCATGCACCATGTGTATTATTGTGTGCACGTGTGAGTGAGTGTGTGTGTGTGCACGTGTGAGTGAGTGTGTGTGTGTGCACGTGTGAGTGTGTGTGTGCACGTGTGTGTGTGCACGTGTGAGTGAGTGTGTGTGTGTAACCGTGTACGTGTGCATGGTGTGTATCGTCACCTGGGGGAGGCCTCCACCATAAGCTCGGCGGGGCGCACGGTGGGCACGCGCAACTGCGTGACGCGCGACGGGTGACGCATGCGCCCGCCCTCCTCGCGAGTGTTATAACCCGTCACGCGCTTATCACGCTCCGAAACCTGCAATGGCGTTCAAAAACTTTAATGTTAAATTGTGCTCGAAAGTCTTCAAAGAATTTTCTTGAGAACTGGTCACAAGTACTATTTTCATATTTTATATAAAAAAATAAAACTTTAGGGAGCAAGGGAGCGTGCAGTCCACCTGATGCTAAGTGGATGCTGTGGCCCATAAACATGCATTTTACGTATTATACACACTCACGCCTTTAACCCAGAAAAAGATAGGCAAAACATACAGACTTTCATTTGGCATAATCCTGACAGGATTTACACATTCCTCCTACGCATAGATCTTGTTGGTTAAGGCCCCAGTCTTGTAAAAATTTGTGTTCTCGCAAAATTTACAGCACAACAAATATTTTTTTATAGTATTTAAAAAAGAAAAAGTGAAACATATTTTACATTTATTTAAAGTGTAGGATTTGAAATTTTCGAAACTGTTTTTTAATTTTATTTTGGTGTTTAAATTAATAGTTCTATTAGGCGTTAAACATGCCGCCCATGCTAAGGTTACATGCGTAAAAGGTCTTATTAAAGCCTCTGCTATGACAGACAAACTATAACAATATCAAGAAAAGTATTCAGATCACATTTATTTACATATTGTTTACAATAATCTGATCTGGTCACTTTTTTTATAAATGCTTTAATTTTCTTATTTGAAGGGCTTAAAAAGTTGTAATTTCATGATTTTTTTACTGCAAATATCAATTTTGTTCTATTAGAAGTATAAAAGTAGCAAAGTCGTACTTAAAACCAAATAAAATAGAACTATTTTCAAGTGAATTAGAAATAAATAAAATTAAAAATATATATTTTCGTACTTTTTACTTATATTCCCTTTATAAACCAGAAACGTCTGAAAATTCTCTGTTCCGCTGGGATTTCTCGGCGTTCAGACGTGTGCAGTGTTGCGCAACGTTGCCTCTCGCTCGCACGGTTTATCTCTTTCCCTTACGCAGACTTATGGACGCTCAGTCCATAAGAGTCTGCGCAAGGGAAAGAGCATATCGTGAAAGTTGCTCTACTTAAATATATTTTATTTTCATTTAATTGTCATATTAGTTCTAGTTTTTACTGTATTAGTGTTTATATTAGTATTAGATTAATTGACTTGGACTTATATATTTGGAGAATTAAAAATTTATTATCAAAAAAAAACGGCAAAAGATGGATAGACAAAAAAGAAGAAATATCCTTGTGTCAGTAAAAATAGTAGTAAAAGTAGTAGTAAAGTACAAAATGTACAAGGTAGAAGCGAAATTTGTATGAAGAGGCAGTTTTTATTTTCCTTCGGTTCTATTTACCCTTTTTAAACCCACACCCCGTATAAACATTACTAAAAACGACATTTATGAAATATAAAAGGGTAAAAAATTATACTACCACGCCAAAAGTAAAAAGGATATTTCTGGAAAAGAAATTAATGAGTTATATATTTAATGAAGTAGAGCAACCTTCACCTGTGATCTCGAACGTATTTATGCACGGGGGAGAGCGCCCCCTCTAATGGCTGCGAATGTAAAACAGCAAAGCTAGACGGAATCCTTAAGAGTAATTTATTTACCTATTTTCAACATGTGGCCAATTCAGTATGTAAAGTTTTATTTAAGGTGTCGTTTTTATTTTTGCCTTATACATAAGGCTAAGAAAAACACTAATTTTATAAGTTTTGTTATCTAAAGCAGTAGTATTTTATAGCTTTTGCTAATAATGACATCAAGAAGTGTGCTGAAAAGTTTGCTGCTTTTATCAAATATAAAAAATTAACATTCAAACCATTTGACATTTTACAAATATGACAACATTCTCACATATTTTGTTATGATTTGGTAATGAATTTGGTCACACATTTTTTTTTAAATAATTGTATAGAATGCTTTGTACCGTAACGTTAATAAATTCGAACTGATTGTCTAAGTAACCTCGCACAAATTGTTTTATAATTAAAATAAATCCAAACTTTGTCACATACCTTCCAGAGCTTGATCGTCTTGTCATTGGTGGAGAGGAGAAAGTGTGCCTGGTTCTTTCTCTTCAGCCACCGAATCTTGTTGATCTTCTCCTCTATCTCGAGCGACTTTAGGTAGTCGAACTCCGGCTCGTGGGACTGGAATGTCGAGTACACATTGTACTCTCCTTTTTTCGGTACACATTGCTTGGATGCTGGGTCTCTCTGTGGAGGATAAAAATTCATATTAAGGTATCTCTACGAACAAACAGACGCCTTAATTTCAGTTTTTTAACTTCCCGCTTCTTAGCGGGATTGAAATAGAAAATTTTCAAAAATCGGGAATTTACTGCTTTTACCCCGTTTTTCGAAAATTGAATTTTCATAAAAATTTTGACGTTTTGACGTCACAGGAAGCCACCCTGACAATTTTTCGATGGTGTCTGTGTGTCTGTATGTATATGTGTGTATGTATGTAAACCTCTTATAAATTTTAAACGGCTTGACCGATTGAAATGAACTAAGCGAATTTTAACTAATTCGGACCGGTAGATTTTGAGAAATACAAAAATAAAAATTTTGAAAAACTGTTTTTTTGGAATAACTTTTAAATGGCTTTACCGATCGATTTCAAAAATTAATCAGCTTTTATAACGAAAAACTGACAAATTATTTTTTAAGTTACTCTGATATTTCATATTCACCGTCATAATTTGGTGAATTTGGAGCGCTTTGCATTTGTAATTGGCGGGAAGTTCCAGGGATGGCTCGAAGGGTCAACAATTTTTTTTAATTGGTTGTCCTGATGGGGATTTTCCCTGATACGGTAAGATCGTATGCAGCGTAAGAGCCACGTTAGGTGTAATATCGTTACTTTGGATTTGAGCAAAATAGCCAGAGTAAGTTGGCAGTAGGGCTCCCTGGCGTCGTAGACGAAATAATTAGAAATCAGAGGGCTAAACGCATTATTTTAAACGTTGTGATTTTGATAATTGTTTTCATCATTATTCATGACAATAATAGTTACAGCCTAGCCTATATACTCCCATTGCTGGGGACAGGCCACCCCTCATTTCTGAGAGTTTTAGGGCAAGAAAGTGTCCGCCGCGCTGCCCCAATGCGTGTTGGCGAACTTCACGTCTTCGATTTTTTTTTCTTATTCTTCGGACATGCAGATTTCCTCACGATGTTTTCCTTCACCGCCGAGTACTTGGTAAATCAGCACGTAAAATTGCAATTAACAATTTCATTGGTGCCGACGTGGATCGAACCCGGGTTACTCGCGTTCTGTTATATTTATAGCGAGCGTTAACCATCTGAGCTACCACCACAATAATAAATATAACGAATTATTTTAAACGTTGGTATTCACGTATTAGCCAATTATACGCTAAAATTTATGTAATATGGCCATAGGTTTGCTCACTGAGGCAAATAAAAAAAAGATAAACTATTTTTTTATAATTCTTCTGTAATATATATAATTCTTCAAGATGATATGTATAAAATCAGATTTAACTGTTTTTTTTTTAATTTCGATTATTAATTTTTTTAAACAATTCGTCTTTCGGCTCACTTGTATGATTCTATCCAAAAATCTGGCCGCATTCTAGGTTTATTTATAATTCACCTGAAATATAACAACTCTGCCGCCCTTGTCGCCGGTGGCGAGCAGTTCGCCGTCGTGATTGAACTCCACGCACGATATGAGATCGGCCTCGGTCACGTCGTCCTCCAACGTGCCCTTCACCTGACTGAAACACCATGTCGTCTCCCCACCATTGCCTGTAAATAGTAAATCATGTTTGCACATACCTCTCAACAAATCAGAGCATTTAAAGGATAAGGAGAGAAAAGTTGCTTTGAAACACAGACTGACCATATTATTGTAAATCAATGTTTTTGTCTCTGTTAGGTTTTGTTAAAATTGGCATTTTGTGTTATTTATCGTATTTTCATTCAAGACCTACAACTTTATCAAATTTGTATTTTGACCTTTCGTGCCACTTATAACATTATTAATAAATTATAATATTTTAACTACTCTCACAGACTATCAATCAAAAGTTTTTAACTATAGTATAATACTCAGTGCTTGATTCCACACGATGCACTTATTATCCACTCCTTTGATGTACGCATTATTAACGACGAAGCAAGCGGTTTGTTTCGGATGCGTGGTATGCCTGGTTGTCCTATAATGGAATGCAGAGCGAGGAATTAAGTCATGCGATTCCTACGCAAACTCCGAAATCCTGTAAAACACCGAAAAGCTAGCAAATTTACGCCTAAGTTTACTGATAGGTAAAAATTTAGTTAAAATTACACAAAACTATTTTGATTTTGATTAATTTCCTTGTAAGGTAATTTATTGAGGTGTCTTTTTTGGATTCACTAAGTAGTTACGTTAAGTTACAATTACACTACAGTTAGGCTGCTTCTTACTCATCGGGAGCCCTCAAAAAAGACGATCAATAAACTTCCAAAAGACGAGACCGACCGAGAATTCGAGAGTCAATTACGAATCTGACTAAAATTGCGAAATTTATAGCAGGACTGATAAAATTACAAAAATAACTGTAAGCTCACTATAATAAACAATAATATGAATATCAGTAAGTTATACGAAATTATGCGTACAATCGCCAAACGTGTAAAACAAAATATTTAAGCCATTCAAATCTTTTGTTAGTATTTAAAATTTAAAAACAAAACCAAACAGCGTGATTCCATTTAGACAGATATAGGAAGAAAGAATTAGTAAATGCAATGTATAGGAATTAAACCAGGCAGTTGAAAGTTCAAGAGTAAAAAGTTCTCGCTTAGGTTAGCTACAAGGAATTTATCAATTTCATCTTTTTGTGTTGTTCTGAGTATTAAATGCATCATTTTCTAGAGAAAATGTGTTGGCATTATCTCTAGAAAATGATGCATTTACCATCTCGCGCGAATACAAGAGTAAAAAAGTTCTCGCTAAGGTTAACCAAGGCATTTTCAATAATAAATGCACCTTTTTTCTACAATTGGGAATGCCTAAACATAATTACCCCCTGTATTTGCACTTCAAAAGTAAATATATAAAAAGTTCTCGCATAAGGTTCGATATAAGGCATTTTCAATTAATTGCATCCTTTTTACGGGTTTACACATACACGTCTTCCTAGAAAGACGGCATCTTATTCGAAGGACGAGTAATTTAGATCGTGTACAGACACGAAAGCCAGTTTATTATGCCTTTTTTATAGCATAATGGTGGCAAACGAGCACACAGTCCACTTGATGGTAAGTGGTTGGCGTGGCCCATAGACATCTACAGATGTAGTATTCAGTCAGTATCCTCGATAACGAATCAAAATGCAGTCACCCATGAGGACTTAGATGGAATGCCTCGTTTCAAGTAAAAAGGGTCTCCGGTTCTCTACACTCACCAAACGAAACACAGTAGCGTTAAGCTGCTATTTTACGCAGGTATTCTGTGGGAGCGTTGTCCTTCCCCGGTCGAGCCGACCCATTCGTGCTACAACTATAATATAGCTGCAGCGTGGCTCTACCACACGTAAAAAACCTTCGCCTTATATTTACTAGGTGGTCGAATTCCTTTCTGCTTAAGAATCCGTTTGGGTAAGTACCACTCTCTTACCAATTTCTGCAAGTAACAAGTACTTATATTGATGTGTTTCGGTTTGAAGGGTATAGAGATCGGACGGAATGCCTCACAGCCAGTGTAACTACAGGCTGTGAGGAATTCCATCTTAGTCCTAAGAGGTGTCGACACATCTGTTGCCTTCCTTTTTTGAAATTGCAGATGTCCATGAATTGCAATAGCCACTTACCATCAGGTGGTACTGTAATTTTGTCACTTCATTTTAATTAAAAAAAAAGTATTGGCTTGGTCACAGAAACAGAAACGCATTTCAAGACATCCTCAACAACCTCCCAGCGTAAGCCTAGACCTGACAGTTCTTCCTCGAGAGTATTGAATGCATCCTAATGATTTCTTATATTTACGCGAACACTACACATTGATTAAAACCACTTTTACGGATTTTATCGCATTTTATTTTTAATACTTGACGTTTCGGGTGCTTTCCAGCACCCATGGTCACGGGGGGCTGAGGTGACTGACGTGACGATGTCAAAGTTAACCCGGAGTACCTTCAGCTTTTTAATTATCTAATGAAACGTCGGGTATTAAAAATAAAATAAATAAAACGCGATAAAATCCGCAAAAGTAGTTTCAATCAATGAATGCATCCAAAGTTAATGTTTTTTATGTACTCAGAAAAAAGTAATGTTACAGGTTACATAATATACGCCACAGCTGGAAGGTTTAGGAGCAAAAAAGTGTTCGCCGCACTATTCTATGTGCCTCGGCGGACGTCACAAGTCTCCGTACCATATTAATTTGTACGTTTACTCCACGTGATTAATCAGTACTTGAAATTCAATTTAATTGGTGCCGTCTGCCGCCGGGATCGGTATCGGTTTGCTGGCGTACGTATGAAATTTAAGGAGACTCGTAAAATAATTTCCACATGACAGCTTCAGAAGTCGTTACGTACGCATAATAAGCATTAAAACTCCGAATTCAGATGCTATTCGATGTATTGTTTAAATTGCATTATCTACTCATTAGTGAACTATAACTGCAATGCAGCAATTAAACTTAGGCGACCATCATATTCCTTGCTGCATCGATCAAACTCATCGAATGTTCCCTAGAGCTGATCACTGTCCTTTAAAACATTTGTATAAACTTTATGCAACTTAAGCATATCACTTTTTGCTGTTTCATTTCGGCAATTAAATTTATTATTTCCTCTTCATTGCGATCTCTTTATTTACCAATTCTCTTTTCTAAACAATATAAATTTAACGATCTTTCTAAGAAATCTTTAAAAATTAGAAAAATAAATTAAACGATTCGCATCAGTAGATATGTATTTTTAAAGGTTTTCACTGCCCTTAATAACACGTTAGCTGCCAGAATGATTTTTCGAAAAACGAAAAAATTTTTTTTTTAAATTTTGTCCAAAACCATTTTAAAACACCTAAAAATATAGTAATACCTTATTTACATTGCTCATATACTTATTATTTACATATTTACAATTCGTCGGACATATAGTCCGACACGGCCTGAACGAAGTATTTTTCAACACTACGCCGCGCGGGTCACTTTCTTGGACACGTGCATGACGGTTATTATTTGGGCGCGTAGCGCGTACCAATAAGAAGCACTCAAGAGTTTTGGACAATCATTGTGCATGATTCTACTGTCCCTCGCTCTAGGCAGATCAGATCAGTTGCATGTTGCACTTGCATCGGAATCGCATTGAACCACTTTTTGTTTTATTACGATTTTGAGGTTATTTCAACTATTCGTTAATAGTTGTGTCGTAAATAGTAAATTTTCGACTGTGAACTATGTTTTTCGACGATATAGAATTAAGTCAAGACGATTTAGATGAAATTAATAAAATCGAACTATCGTGTCAACGCAAGCGCAGTTTTTCGGCCACAGATAGTGAGGAAGAATCTTTGGCTGTCCCACGTAGTAGGAAGCGACGTCGTATCTTGTCAGATAGTGAAAGTAATGATGAGCAGTGCTTCTCATCTGCGCGCCCATCTACTTCAGGCGCTTTGCTGAATGATGTGTGGTCAATCTCGACAGGTAACCAACCCAAAATTATACCGTACACAGAATCACCCGGGCTAAAACCTATTCAACTGAGACATTTGATGGCAAATTTCGACCCGCCAGACTTTTACTCATTACTCGTACCGGACACAGTTTTTGAAGACATCGTACCTATATCAAACGAACTTATTTGCAGAACAAATAATCTCAAAGGGTGGATTAAAACGAGTCTCAAGAATTCACAAATGGGCGCCTACAGACGTCAGAGAGATAAAAAAATTCTTTGCTCTTATTCTGTGGATGGGGTTAGTGAGATTACCATCTCTTGCCGATTACTGGTCTACAGATCCGATGTTTCGACAAGATTTCGCAAAAAATGCCATGACTCGAAACAGATTTGAAATTTTACTTCGTATGCTACATTTCTCAAATAATGAAGAAACTGAAAAAGGTGACCGACTACACAAAATTAGATAAATTAGTTAAAACACTAAATATGAATTTTCAAGACCATTTCATTCCCAATGAGTCATTATGTGTTGACGAAAGCCTCATTCCTTTTCGAGGCCGAATTATATTTAGACAGTACTTGAAACAGAAGAGGCATAAATACGGTATAAAGATTTTCAAATTGTGCACAACGCCAGGTTACACTTTTAGGCTAGAAATATATGCAGGGAAAAGTTCCGAGTCCAAAAATAATACACCAACAAATATAGTTCTTAATCTTTGTAGTAACCTGCTGAATAAAGGACACACTATGTATACCGATAACTGGTATACCAGTGTAGATTTAGCAGACAAATTACTTGATTCAGAGACGCATCTGGTTGGTACGCTCCGCAAAAATAGAAAGAGATTGCCGAAAGAAGTCACTGAAACGAAGCTCAAACCTGGTGAATATATTTCTAGAGAGAATCAAAGGGGTAAAACCGTTATGAAGTGGCGAGATAAACGCGAAGTACTTCTGCTGTCTACAAAACACTCAAACATACTAAAAGAAAGTACGAGTAAACGGAGCCTTGTTACCAAGAAACCCAAAATTATTTTATCCTACAACCAAGCGAAGTCGGCCGTAGACCTGTCTGATCAAATGTCAGCATATTCAACACCATTGCGTAAGACAGTAAAATGGTATCAAAAA